GAAAGTAATAGAAAAGAACAAACATAAAGAGAAAAGAAAAAAAGCAAAAGAGAGAAAGAAGAAAATAATTTTTAGAAACACCCATATCCCCCCCTAAAAATAGTGAAGAGGAAAAATGCATCCAAAATTTTGCTCAATATTTTTGAAGTTCTTTCCAAAGTCTGCAGTATTGAAATCCACAAGACACGAGAGAGAAAGACAGTGAGTTACTACTAAGATCTACTGTTTCCATACTAACATTTTTGTGTGTGAACAGCGAGTTCTATGAAAATTTTCTTTCTGGGTATAGTTATTCAGTGGTTGTCCATTGTAGGGATACAGTCGCTCCCAGATTCCATGTTTCACTGTGTGCCCACACTTGGTATGGTATCTGAGCATGTCTCTGTTTGGGGCCTGCCCCCCTGCATAGCTGTTGTCTGGGAGGGCCTTTGGCTGGGGGCTATGCACCTAAGTCTCTGGTGTCTGGGCAGGCTTTTGTCTGGGGTCTGTGTGCACTTACCAATGGTATCTGGGTGGGCCTATGGCTGGGACCTGTGGGCACTGGTGTCTGGGAAAGGTCCTGGCTGGGACCTTCACACCCATGCCACTCTGGTCCATAGGCTTCTCACTATACAAATGGTATCTGGGAGGGCCTCTGACTGTTGCCTGCATGCCTGAACACTGTTACCTAGGTGGGTCCAAGCCTGGATTGTGTATAGATATAAGATTTCATTTATCTTTTCATCTGTTGATATGCATAGGCTGTTTCCAAGATTTACCTAATATGAATTGTGTCACTAAAAACATGAGTATGCATACATCATTATTGTATGTTGCATTTAATACTTGTTGAAAGATACTTAAGAGGGGAATATCTTGATCAAATGGAATTTATAGTTTTAGCTTTATTTGACGTATCAAAATACTGATTTCTATATCGACTGTAACAATTTACAGTCCCACCAAGAGTGCAGAAAGGTTGCTTTTATCCTCACAGCATTGCTACCATTTGTTATTGGTTGATTTCTTGGTGATAGCCATTGTTTCTGTAGTGAGATGCAATCTTAGTGTTGTTTTTTTTGCAATTCTTAAATGGCCAGTGATGTTGAACATCTTTGATATATATAATCTGTTTATATTTCTTCATCTAAGAAATGTCTATTCATTTCAGATGCCATTTTTGGATTGGGTCTTTAAATTTAAGGGTTATGATTTTTTAGAGTTCCTTGTATTTACTAGGTATCAGTCCTTTGAGAAGTAGTTAGCAATTTTTTTCCCATTCTGTAGGTTGCCTCCTCATTTTGTTACTGGTTTCCTTTGCTATGCATAAGCAGTTTCATTTGATGGGATCCCATTTGTTGACTATTTGTATAATTTCTTATGGGACTAGGGTTTTGTTCAGAAAGTCTTTACCAGCCCCTATGTCTTTATGTGTTTTACCTATATTGTCTTCTAGCAAATTAAGTTTTTCTGTTCTAATGTTTAGACTGTTGATCAATTTTTATTATAGTTTAGTACATTATGAGAGATATGTGTCTAAGTCCCACCTTAGGCATATGCATAGCTAGTTTTCCCAGCAGTATTTGTTAAAGAGGCCATCCTTTCTCCAGGAAAGAGATTTGAACCTTTGTCAAAAATAACATAGCTGAGTGTGCTTACAGTTATTTCTCTATGCTCTATTCTATTCCATTAATCCACAAGTCTCTTTTTTCTATTAGTATGATGTTTTTATCACTGTACCTCTGTAGTATAATTTGCAGTCCAGAATTGTGATGCCCCTAGACTTGTCATTGTTGCCTCAAATTGCTTTTGCTGTTCTAGTACTCTGCTGGTTCCATGCGATTTTTAGGATTGCCTTGTCAAATTCTGTAAGGAATATTATTGTTATTTTTATTTGGATTGCTTTAAATATATGTAACATTTTTGGAAATATGGCTATTTTGACAATGTTTTTTCTGCTTATCCAGAATAGGGGATCTTTCCTTTTGCTGATATCCTCTTCAATATCCTTTTACATAGTACTATAGTTTTCATTGTAGAGGTCTTTCACTTTCATGGCTAAGTTAATTCCTAAGTATTTCATTTTTCTTGATGCAATTTTGAAGCATATTTTTCCATAATTTCCCTCTCAGTGAATATGTTATTATTGTTCATGAATGCTATTAATTTTTGAACATTGACCTCATATCATGCTGTACTCCCAAATTTTGATATTAGTTCTGGACATCTTTTGATGGAGTTTTGGGGACCTTCTATGTAGAGGATGACATCATCACCAAATAATGATGAATCAACTTCTTCCTTCCTTATCCATATTCCTTTTATTTCTTTCTCTTGTCATGTTACTCTAGCTGTGTCAAGAGCTATAATGAATAGAATTAGTGATAGACATGCTTCTCTTTTTCCTGATTTTAGTGACAGATATCATCTTCTTCCTTATTTTAGAGAGAAAGGTTTCAATTTCTCTCCATTTAGTATGACGTTGGTTCTTGTTTTGACATAGTTGGCTTTTATTATGTTGAAATAATGTCTTTCTATAGCTATTTTCTTCAAAATTTTTAATCATGAGTGGATTTTGGATTTTGTTAATTGTGTGTGTGTGTCTATTGAGTTGATCATAAATTTTTGACCTTCTGTTTATGTGATATATTACATTTATTAATTTGAACATGTTGAACCATCCCTACATCCATGGAATAAATCTTACTTGGTCATGATGCATGATATTTTTGATGATTTGCTGTATTCTGTTTACCAGTAACTTATTGAGGATTTTTGCAGCTGTGTTCATTAAAGATTATTAGGCTGTAGGCCTGTTTGTGGTTGAGTCATTTTCTGGTTTGGGGTCAGAATAGTGCTTGCTTCTAGGAACAAATTTGGGAGTTATACTTTCTTTTTTTCCCATTGAGTTTTGGTACATTTTAGGTATACAGTACAGTTACATTCATTATTGGGATCTTGTACCTTTACATGACAGGTCTTGTTTCTCATTTTTCCCCTTGTACCTGCCCTCCCTCACCCCCCTCCCCTCCCCATTTACAAACACTTTATTTCCATTTTTTCATTTTGTCATATTTTTTTCTTTTCACTTATTACCTTTCCCCCATCCTCCTACCATTCCCACTTTCCCTACACCTTTAGCCTTTTTCTTCCTATTTCACATTGTCTGTTATCTCATTAGGATCTTATGTACTAAGGAGTACTGGCTTTAGATCTTCTTTATTATTTTGTAGAATTTGGCTGAACATTGAATTACATAATAAGTTCTGACAGTTGGAGGGAACACAACCTTTATGCAAGTGTAACTTTTAACTGTTTTACTCCTCCTGATCTTTTTATATCAGCTATCAATCCATAGTACTGAGCAGATATTTATACGTTATTCCAGGCAAGGCAATTAGGGGTCTGTATATCTCCCTCCCAATCCAGGACAGAGGTATTTATTAGCCTGTAAGAGTCGTCTTTGGCTTTACAAATTTCCACAGGGCAGAGCCTGAAAGGCATCAAATTTAATGATCTGAGATTCTGAGGTTTGGACTATGTTTATTACCAGCCTAATGACATTAATTACCCCATTTTCCAGGTTTTAAAAATACTGTTCCATTATTAACTTCCAGTCTTTTCCTGGCCATAAATTATTAAACTGCTCAGCTGAAACAGGCATAAGAGGGATGCCCTCTTCATAATTAAACTTTTAAAGAATTTGGCCTTACAGGGTCCTGAAATGATTTATATACTTCCATTTACTTTGCTCCACCCCTTCTTGAGTTACCCCTACTAGTCCCTTAGCTCAAGTATAGTTAATCTACCCTTTTTCTACTATTCATATTGTGGTCTTGGTAGTCAGGAGAACCTGATAGAGGACTTCCCAATTCAGCTGGAGCTCTTCCTCTTTCCATGTCTTTATCAACACCAGATAACTAGGTAGAAATTGATGAACTGCAAACTCCAAAGTTGGGGTCTGGGATAGACTTTTCAACCCAAGGGATTATAAGGTGGAGGATATGGCCAGGTAACAATTTCTTTAAAAATTGATCCTTGGTTTTCATAGTGGGGAGGTTTGTAAATCATGCATAGAAGCGCATATAGCAGTTCAAAGTGGGGACAGACCTGTATCCTTTCTTGGAGCAGTGCTGGTCCTATGAAGTGTTATTGGAAGATATTTAGTCCAGCACAGTTTGTTCTCTAAGATTAGTTTAGTGATATGTTTTTAAGGATTTGCTTCATCCTCTCCACCTTTCTAGAGGTGGGAGTGGTGCCAAGGAGCATGGTAATCGCCATTAAAGTTTAAACTACCCATGATCCTTTTGAAGCAACTTTGAAGTGAATCGTCATTGTCTGAAATAACATTTTCTATTAGGCCAAATCTAGATATAATCTGTTCTAAAAGAATTGTGGTAATATTATCAGCAGTGACAGTTCAAAAGAGGGAAGGCTTCTACACAGCCAGAGAAGTGATCAACTATTACTAGTAAATATTTGAGCCTTCTCACCTTGGGCATTTCTATAAAGGCCACTAGAATCATTTGAAATGTCATTAGCCTAAGATGTCTCCCTTTCACTTTATACTTTATGACCGCTCCCTTATTTATTCTTTGCCATGTCACACATCTTTTGCAGACATGTTTTCAATGTTATAAAAACTTAGGCAGCTATAGGTTCTGAGTATTGCATCACACATAGCCTGGGGTACCTAGAGACTTCTCTTATGAAGTATGGACATGAATTGACACATTAAGGGTTTGTTTACCCTTCCGTCTGTTAGTACCCATCTTTGATCATCAGTTTGAATAGCTCTAAGGATTTTTAACACCCTTTTTTCTCCTTTGTGTCTCCTTATCTTTTTTTGTACATCAATTTGTTAATATAAAAAAAAATCTGCTTCAGAAAGTATAAAAACATTGTTATAATGTCATGTGCACCAGACAATCCAATCTGTGTAGCCCCAACATCTGTCCATCCTGTGCCAATACTACGGACTGTCTGCACCATGTTCTGAGTGACATACAACTCTGCCAACTTCAGATGTCCATTTTGGTTTTGATGGATATCTTCAGGGTCACTTTCTGAAAATCTTGGATGAACGTCAGGAAGTAGAAAATGAAACCAAAGGCTGCAGTCCATTCGCAGATTGCGCTGACAAGGTGATAAACATAATCTTTTTCTTTTGGATTCCACTTCAGCTTGGTGATTGAAATCATGGACGCACAGGCAATCATGGGGAGGACAGCTGTGCAGGATACCACAGAAATGGCCATCCTCACATGGCACATGGACAAGCTGTTCCACTGGGGGCAAGTCTTGTAGGAGATGAGGGACTGCAGGAGGATGTACATCACACCACACAGGGAGGCCAGCAGGGTGCCGCTGTGGTGCACCAAAGGCATGGTCAGCTCCTGAAAATTGGCCACTATTCCGATCCCGATGCAGCCCACCAGGCCAAGGACTAGCGATGCCAAGTTAAAGATGGGCGTGCTGAAATAGCTAGTTTCATTCTGCTTCTCCAATATTTTATATCTCATGTAGATTGTGGCTGTGCCAAGAAATGTAGAAAAGTTTATCATTAATGCAAAAATACAACTCTCTGGAGGGGTTGCCCCTGTATCACTGATGTAGGGCAGGAAGGGATTCACATGTCCGGAGAGCACGGCCACAAGGTAGGAGATGATGACTGCTGCCGCTGACCAGGTCACCAAGAAGAAGGGGACGAAGGCCATGCCCCACAGGAAGCACCACATGGCAGGATGCAGTTGCTGTGGGTAGCCTGGAGACACAGGCTTCAAGCAGGACAGGATAGGTGGAGTATTCAGGGACCAGTGGAAGAGGACCAGGAGATGGGTGGGGAGGGCTGCTGCAACACTGTGATGTCACAAAGTGTGACACTGGGCACTGGTAGGTCACAGGGCCCTGGCCTGAAGTTTCTCTGCGATATTATTTTTTAGATACATTATAGGAAATGTAGAAAATTTAAAAACAATAAACCTAACCAGTTTCATTACCATCTAGTTGAAGTTAATCATTATTAGCATCTTAATAGACTTAAAAATCATTATGTTAATTTTATTAAATTTAGTCATTAAAATACCATCATATAATGAAATTAGCATGAATTTCCTCTATTTTTACATAGTCCAATTTCCGAGTAAATAAACTTGGCTAATATAGAGCAAATGGATCTTAATTATTCTGAAGTTAGACAAATTGCATCTTTTCAATCCAAGTTATTCATATCACTCAGCAACTGTAACTTCAAAGAATGAATAGACCAAGATTAGGAAGTATATTACCTCTTCTGAAGCTTCCACACACTGTCACAATGTATTCAAAATCCAGGTTTTTAACTTCACTTAGTACAATATCCTAATAGAAGAAAAATTAAATCAATATTCCAAAAATGGCTTTCCATGGTGACACTCTCAGTACTAATCAAAGAAAACAATTCAGTACACTCTTTCTTGAATTTGTAACATCTTTTCACAAGGGATTCTTTTTACAAAGTCCTCTAAATATTTTAGCCCAATTCATTGAGGATGGTTCAATTTAACTTCATTTTTCCTGAGATCTTCTAATGTTTTAATTCCTTCATCTACAATCTTCCTTGCACCTGATAGACAAATGTCACTAACTCAAGTCATGAAATTGATGGACGAACTGATGTCATCTTGCCAAATCTTTTCCAGTTTGTTCAATTTTTCAGTAGTTAAAAACTTATCAGTTTTTTTTTCTGCAATTTTTGTTCCTACTTCAGGCACTTTCTTGGCTTCTGCTCTACTCTTCATTTTGTGTGGGTACTTGGCTATAACTGATGCCGTTTTTCTGTAAGCGCTGTACTTATGAATAGCCTGGCATATATTCTTCTGAAAGTTTGTGAGTTCTGTGATCATGTCAGTGATTCCCCCAGTAAGGGTCTCCTGTGGTGCCTTCTGTTTACTCATAGTGGCCTGCAGGAGAACCCCAGGTGTCATGCACCTATGCCTGAACCCCTCTCCCAATCATACAGAGGGACAGATACTTGAAGCAGGAAGGAGTCACCCAGTGCAGTAGAGTGGGTGAAACCCCTGAACCATATTTTCCTGTTTTGTGAACTGAAGAGATAGTGTAACCTGAGGTAAGCCAGTGATCAGGCTTAATATCTTAATCTCTTCCTCCAAGGCAGCTTGTTTGCTGCCTCTTCAGTAAGCCTGTTTAGTACATCTTCCATGGAGCTTCTTTTCTGATGACCACTTAAATTGAACTACAGCCACCTCCTCTGAAAACAAGAGGCTTACTAATACCTGTTTAGTTAATTATCCATGTGTCAATTGATTTTCCTTGCTGTTTAAAAGACCTTGCTCCATCCAGATCTTTTGGAAAGTGTGCACAGCCCCATAAACATGTTTAGAGTCAGTGTAAATGTCTCCATCCTGCTGCTCCAGATGTTTTAGGGCCTGGTGTAGGGAATGGGGTTCAGAAATGTGGGCTGACCAGTTGCTAGGTAACCTCCCTTCTTCAACCATGGATTATCTCTTTCCATTAAATGTGATATAACCATTATGTCTCTTTCTTTCTATTAACCAAGATGATCCATCCATAAACAACCTTTATGGAGTGGTGTGTCTCTCTCAAATCTGGTCTAATCTTAGTTTGTTACTCTGTGATATATAAGCAGTCATGGTCTAAGTCCCTGGATCTTTCTCTGCCTTCCTTAGGAAGTTCTCTGTGTTTAGGCAAGTATCTGTTGCAAGAAACAAGTCATCTCTTTCTAACAAAATAGACTCATATTTTAGTATCTGGAGTCCATTAACTATTTTCTAGCTGCACAAGGTAGGACAGACAGGCCCAGGGTTTCTCTTTGCTTTCCCCTTTCTCTTCTTTAAGCAGAAACCTGGGGTTCAAAATTGCAACCAATAGAAGGTATAGTCCATTTCTTACTGAAAGCCTGGGGTCATTTTATTAACATAGATAATCAAGACCCAATAGATCCAATGCTCTTTAGAGCTGAATTTAGGGCAAAAACTGAAGGTTTTCATATTGGGTCCTTGGATCATATGAAACAAACAGTACTTAATAATTTTTGTTTCTCCTTATTTTGAGTCCTGGAACTGTCTTCCCAAATTTCTATCATTCTCCCTAAACGATAATCTAGAGGAATATATAAAGGGAAATTCCAATCTTCACCTTTGTTTGATTCCTTAGGCATAGAATTTTTATTTCTCATTTTCAGCTGGTCCTTATGTCTGTTTCCCTATGCACTCATTCCCCCCACATATACCACTGGAGGTTTCTTGCACACCCAGAGAATTGCTTCACATGCCTCTAGCCCTTTCCCTTTTGGGAGAATGAAGCCACAGTTTGGAACTTAGCACTGACTTTGTATCTAAGATACATCTCAGTCAAACACACTCAACCTTTGTAAATGCTCAATTAGCAAGGCAGTACTTACAGTCCAGTTTTCTTAACTTGTCCCATGCACAGGTTGCTGGATTTTTGATGTACCTGCTTTCTCTTTCCTGTGTCAATTTCACTCTCTCAGATAAAGGTTGCAGCTTATGCAAGGAGAGTGATTACCAGGCTGAGATGCCTACCTAAACCTGTATGGTGTACTTCTCCTTCTTGGTCAAGGATCTGGTCTGCACAGACATCCTAGTTAAATCCCCAAATTGCAAGAAACATGCTCACTTGTCAAGTTCTAATGAATGGACATGGAGACAAAGAGTAGAGCAGAAAAGAAACTTTAATTTGGGTCGTGCAAGTCTAGTATCCACCAGACCAAAGGCACACCTAGAAAGATTACTACAAGCTTTTTATCCCTAAAGTGCAGGCCCTACCTATCGTACCTCATTAACTGAATACTATCGAGTGAACCGTCTTCTTGCATGTTATCTAAGTCTCCTTTTGTTTCCATACCCCCTCCAGTTTTTTTTCTCATCTAGTATTTGTGTTTTTCAACAAAATCTTTCTTGTTGGCTTATCCCTCATCCAACATTTTGTTTTACTTAGGGACTCTGCAGTGCATGGAACATACAGTTTTTCATGTCTCCAAGCTGTTGAATATGTTTGGCTGTTAGTAATTTTTCAGTGCTAGCTACTTTGCCTTAAAAATGGACCATATGAAATTCCTATTTATCACAATTGTGAGTGTGGCTTACAGGGTACATGTCCCTCATCCTCCCTTGATCCCACAGGAGGCTGCTTCCTATCTGCCATGCAATGAGCTCTTTATTCTCTGCCATGTTGCCCAGCCTTAAAACCAGCTGGCTGTGGACTGAAACATCTACAAACTTTGAGCCCAAAGTAAACCTCTAATTCTTTAACTGTGGGTGCAGGGTATTTTGTTCCAGCATTGAGAAAGTAACTAAAACAAATACACCTAAGTCTGATCAGGTTTGATATGACATAGTTTTAGCAAATGATTATTGTATGAACCTCTTTAAATTGGGACACAGAAGATTAAAATGCCTTATGCAGGGCCAGGAATTAGCTCAGTGGTGCTTGCATCTGCCTTGCAAGCACAAAGTCCTGAATTCAATCCTCAGTACCAAAAAACAAACAAACAAAAAAACTAAAAAACTAAACCAAAACCAAAACACCTTATGGATTTCATTCTGGCTAAATTTGTTGTCTTAGCTTCACTTTGCCATGACAAAATACTCAAGACTAAAGAACTTGAAGGAACTAGTAGTTTAGTTTGGTTCATATTTTCATGGGTTTTAATTCATGATCAGCTGGCTTCATTCTTTTGGACTTATGGAGTAGCAGAACATCATCACAGAGAGTGTGTGGTTTAGCAAAGATCATCACCTTATGGTGGTTAGGATGCAAAAATGGAGAGGAAAGGTCAGACTTCTAGTGTTCCCTTCCAGGTCATATTCCCAATGATCACACTTTCTTCCATTAGTCACACTTTTTGAATGTTTTACCATGTCCTAAAAGTTCCCCTGTTTGGATACCATACCTGAGCTTTGGCAGACACTTAAGATAATGACTTAGTGGGATTTGAGTATGTTGGAACTGTTAATAATGGCCCTGAACCACTTGAATATGACAGTTTCACCTTTGCTTCTTTGAAGAGGTACCAGCAGTGTCTAGAGAAATGGGAGTGTGGGTCTGGCAACATATATGACACCTGAGCAAAACTCCCAATGTGATCATCTGAGGGCATGGTCACAAAGTGAATTTGAAGATAACATGAGAGCACTGAGATAAATACTCTGTTATGGCTTGTATCTAGGTGTCCTCAAAAAGCCTCATACACATACAGATGAGGCTTTTTGCAGCTGGCTAGATCTGGAGCATGCTATACTTGGATTAAGCTATGTGGTACTAAATTAGTTCACTGATTGGAATTAGTATAGCTCTGGGTATAGATAACTGGAATGTCTACCCTGGGTGTGGGTAGATCCAATCAATAGATTTATAGCCCAGAACTCAGGAGGCTGAGGCAGGAGGATTGATGTGAGTTCGAGCCCAGCCTGGGCTACATAGCGAGTTCCAGGTCAGTCTCAACTACCTAGTGAGACCCTGTCTCAAAAACAAACAAACAAAAAAGATTTATAGCTTGGATGGAATATATCAGGACAAAAAAAGGCAGGCTTGCTAATTGCTGCCGCCACCTGCCTGCTCTGCAGTGGACCGCTTCCCCTCTGTAATTCCCTTCAGCATTCCAACCTGCCTTGGAGCCAGTTAATTATAGACAAACATCTACAAACTGTGAACTGAAATAAATCTTTCTTCCTTGAATTTATGTGTGTCAGGCACT